AATTAAGTTGTATATCACAATCTGAAAGGAAAAACTTTGCTAAATGTTTGTAAACAGGGAAATTTTCTGCCCGCTGCCAGGAGTTTCATTTTTTCAGAAGTTTTAAATGCTTTTTGAGGAAAGTTGCTCGTAGCTCGCTGCTCGTATCTGGGGGCAACAATTTAAGGCGCATTAACTGCAGGCAACAGGAAACCATTTCAGATATTCCTCTGATAATTACAAACAGACAGTGGAGAGTCAATAGTGAGCCCCCCCCTTCCTCAGTCAGTCATCAATCGGGATTTCCATTCGATGACATCCTCAGCCCCCGCAGCCACGCCCTCGGGCTAACCATAAACCATCGATTGTGGGTCAAATTGCGTTGATGCGACATGGGAATCTTGGGCCTCTCTGTCTCTCTGCCACAAATGACAGTCAACAAATGGGGACAGCAATCGGGGGCAGCAATCATTGGCACAAGCCCGCGTGGCTTGTTTACTTGACTGCGGTCAATAGAATGTTTAATTTCATCTTCAAATGATATTAAGCATATAAACTCAGATTTAATTATTTGTCTAGCAAGCACAGTTTAAATATGAATTAGATTTGATTTCTACCATTAATAAAGTCGTATTCTCAATTTTTATAAAATGTAATAATTATAAAAATATAATACTGTACAACACAATGTACAAGAATGGTTCTTTTCGGACTCCCCACCATAATAATTAATTTATTTAGCTGCTCTGACCAAGCTTATTGCTTTATTTTCGTGCTAACAAATCTGTCAAATGTGTGGGTGTCCTCGGCAATTAGCTAAGCCCCTGCTGAGAACCAACTAGGCTTAACACGGACCCCCAACCCCTTTTAGATGCAGTACACCATCTGGGTAAAAGGACGAAGTATGAAAGGGGTAAGGACATCTGCGACGGACCGCCTGTTTTCGGCGGCGCTGCACGGCACGACATAGTTCCATTAAACTTTCGACGATAACGCGCCAAACTTTGCGCCCAGCAAAACTCCTAGTAATTTGCAGGAAGTCAACTTACCTCTTCCTCTGCTCCCCCCTCCGGCACCGCCGATGGAAGCCCCTGGCCATAAGTTAGGCCCTGCACTAATCAAGCTCTGCATACCACAGATCCTTGCAACCCTTGCCGAGTTGCAAGCCAGGAAAGGCAAAGCGACGGCCCCAGTGAGGCATTTATTAATAACGCGAACTTTAAATAACCCGACAGAACTTAAGCCGGGCCTCAAGGAGAACTAGTTGCAGTAAACTCATGCCTCCTCCCGACTTGGGCTCCTTTATGCCTCCCCTTTTCGTCCTGCCTCTGCGGTTGCCGTATACGCCACGTTGCCGGTCGTCCAGCAGAGCGCTGGGCATTTTCGGAATATCCGCAATTATGCGGGCCCGAGCTAAATTTTTGTTGTATATTTTTGAACTGTCGGATATCCTGATCCCGATTCTCACCCAAGACCTCGGGGCAGTTAAAGTGCATTTTTATGGATGACCAAAAGTTCTTAGAAAAATAAAAATGAGGTGGAATCTTTAAAGAAAATATTTAAGTGGCTTTTACAGCTTCAAGCTTTTCTATATCCTAATTTTTATCGGCAAAGAAATAGCCTCCTAAGGGGATGCTCCAAATAATTTCTTTTAAAGTTTTGATAAAAATTGATGAAAAATCAATTCATAAATAAGTTAACGTTTTCTACTCAAGAATCGGATGATTACTGGAGAAGATAAAACCTTTCAGTGGGCCATATTTTTCTTTCAGGCGTTTTCCCTATTTTTTTTGAAGAGGAACTCCTAAAAAATTGGTCAGAAAATCTAAAAACTAAATTTTTTTTTATGATTTTGGTGGAAATGGATGAAGAACTGAGGTATCGAATGATTACTGGTGATATAGCCATAGAAGTGGCCCATGTGCTCCAAAAATAATGTTTTACTAAATCTGTTTGAAACTTAAAGTTGAGTCGATTTATAAATTAACTCGTTTATGGTCTTGGTTTCTATCTTTAATTTGTGATTTATATTATTTATTTTTATCCTTTTTATACTTTTTGTACATATTATAAATACAGGCTATCTCCATTTTTTTGAAACCAATATTTTTGCAAAAACTGCAGTGAATTCACAGCTGTGTGGTTTGGGCGTTTGTCGTGTTATTATTGTTATTACGACACATGTTGCCCAAATGCCGAGGCGGGCTAAAAAAGGCTGGCCTCGTTTTTCCCAGGGCCAGCTTGGCTCGTCGACACTATCAATCTTCCACCATATTTTTCATTATTTTTTTTGGCCTTGTGGCAAGTTGCATTATCGTAAAATGGAATTTGGAATTTTCGTAGCAAGTTGCAACACCTCTGTTCGCCTTAATTCGTGACTGGGACAGAGTGGTTTTTGACAGAGTGTGGTTATCCTGTAGCAGCTTTGACCAGTTGATTGTGAGCTTTAACCCTTTGGCCCGTCTCCCAGAGGTGTGTCACCTGCGGACCCGTTGGCCTGCAGTGGTTCTGATGTTGATATTTGATCCAAAAACATTTTTTAAAAGAATTCAACACGAAAATTGGCCAAAAGGACTCAAACAGTTGTAGTTGCATTGCGACCCGACTTGCCACAAAAAAGGAAGGTGGAAAAAAAAACTTTTGAGCGAAAAACTTGATAGAATCTCTCGCCCCTCCTTCGTCTTTGTCACACTTTTAGCCGGATTCCCCAATTTCTTTGGCACCACCCTTCGACTCTTCGGGCCTGGTCCTGATCCAGGAGTTTGCCAAGTTTGGCGGCTTGCAGCTGCATTACATGTGGTTGGAACGGCATCGACAGCCGTTGCAAGCTCTTGTTTGTTGTTGTTTTCTATACTTGGCGAAAGTTTGCCAACGGGCAGAGGGTCGGAGGTTGTTGAGTGGTCTTAGCCGGGTGTTGCGGTGAAGATATCTCGGCTATAAGTTGGCAGACTGTTGCATGCACTGCTGTAATGCAAATAAAAATGTTGAGAATTTTGATGATTTTTTTAAATAGCCTTTTTGTAGAGTCTACACATTCCAACAATAAAAATTATTTCTAATTTAATTATTTGATTAAAAAGAATATATATTAATTTTAAGGCCCTGTATTCTACTAACGTTCTAAAATAAATAAAATTTTTGTATTTCCTGTAAATATTTCTTAAAAATACCCTTCAGTTTCTCATTTCAAAATATATCATATTTCCAGATCATTGCGTTCTAAAAACTTCACTTCCATGTTCAAAAATCAAGCTGAAAAGCAAACATGTCGGACTTAGACCTGGCTTTGGACTTCCCCTCATCGGTTGTCCAAAATGGCCTAAACAACTTCAATATGCAATTTTCTTCGACTGGCAACTTTTTTGTTGCCTCTTAGGCAGGCCGCAAACTTTTCTAATAACCTAAGATACTGGCAAACTGGCAAAATGGTAAACAGACATGCCGACAGACAAGGAAAAACATTTCAGTAGGATGTTCTTCGGGGACTTCCCTTTCCGAAGTATAGTAAGTGCTGCCGAATGAATTCCAGAGCATTCTGGCAGAAACTGGCTACAAAAAAAAAAAAATAGGGCCATGTTGGCCCAAACAAAACCATCGATGTTGAGGTATCTCAAATTGACGTGTTAGTTTGCAAAAAAAAAGAACGAAAAACAGAAAACACTTCCAAGAGGGAGCATTAAATTTGCAAAAGTAAATTTTCAGGGCAAGTTAGCCGGAGAGAGAGCTAGTGCATACGTGATATATTATTTCATATTACGGGCAAATTGAAAAGCTCAATGAAATAAAAAAAAAATTGAAAGACGAACAATTCCAAAGATAAATAAACTAGAAAAAAGAAAATATTTCGCTTACGCAGACGAAAGTAAGTACACAAAGGGATAGGGGGCCTTACTCGTGCGGGGTGGAATAAGTTTAACTGCCACGGCCACGCCCCCATAGTTACGACTAACTGTAAAACGAGATATAGATAGATAGCGATGGGGACCGAGTATATATGTAGAGCGGCTTATTGTGTTAGTTTATTTGCGCAGTAGAAATTTATGAATCAATTTTTTAGTGCCCGCTCATAAAAAATTCAAATAAATAAATTTGTGTGCGGCAGGAGTTTTTTGTTGCCCGCCGTTTTTATCCAATTTCCTTTGTTTTTTCTTCATGCAATTGCACTCAAATTGCAGGCAGTAAAATAAATGCCGATTGATTGATTGAGCACTTGATTGATGGCTCGACGTTTTCATCGCCTAATGAGGAAACCATTTTGTGCCCTGAAAAGTATGCTATTATTACAAAGAGCATAGTCCTGAAAAAGTGTGTATGAAATATTTATACAAAAAAATAATAATTTGATTAATGTATGGATTATCAACTGAAAGATATTAACTATAGTATAGTATGTCTATAGTATACAAAAATCGAAAGCTTTTTACGTAAATTTTGTACAAGTTGTAGGAACAAGTTTTAAATGAAATGATGGATCTAAAATTTGAAACAAAACCAAATTCTGGTCCATTGTCGCCGCAAAGCCCTCAACTTGGTAGTCAACCCAAAATAACTTTTTGCGGCGCTCCCGCAGAGTTGCCCCTAATATGTCCGAAAGTTGCTACCAATTTGGAACTGCGGAAAGGTGGCTGGCACACATACGCATTGCTGGCTGATGCCTAATGGCCGTGATAATGCCATGACAACTGTGTGAGCATCGGAGCACACTTGAAAGTTCTGCAGTCTGCAGTCGAGGCACTGAGGAGCGGCTGTGGCAACCACGAAACTATGCCAAATTACTCAACAACGTTGCAACACCTGCCTGGCACTGGATGCCTTCCATCGTTCACCAGAAAGTTGGCCAACTGGTTGGCGGAACAGGTTAAAGGAGGAGCTGCCTCAATTAGTTCGAACTCCTGCCCAGCAATTAGGCAGCCTGAAGTGCCCATGTTAATGGCCGGAAATCGGGAATGACGGACGACTTACGGCTCTTAGCCCATTGGCCAACTCTATTGATTAATTTAACATTAAAAACCAAGCATAACATGGCTTTGAGTTTATTGTAGTCATGATTTACACCTTATAAAAAAAAAAAATAGGCAAAATTCCAAATGGAGAGGAACCGACGTTCAGACTATAGATCGACTATAAGAAAGACTAGGCGCAATTTCAAATGGGGAAGATTCGATGTTCCAAAATCATAAGGACTGTCGGTTTTAGCTGATTATTACGTTGAAGCCCGGCACACAGGACACATCCGGAAAAGTTCTTGCGATATTGGGTTAAAGTATTGATGGATATTGGTGGTTCAAACTGGCGCTTTACGATGATGGCGCAAAAAAAGACGCTCGCATGTAAGATACCAAAAATACCCACATTATAAGAATATATATATTCTAGAGATTTTAGGTACAACCCCCCCTGGTGGGGCGGTGGGGTAGCTGGTGCCTGTTGTCAACTTTTAACGGCTCCCTTTGATCTCCTTGAGACGCGTTTGGTGGTCGACAAAGAAAAACGTGGATTGATTAAAAATATGCAATGGGCCATCAGAAAACATGGTAAAAAAAATAACATTTTTCCTCATAAAACAATAGGTATATACGTATCCTTTAAGGTTTCTTTTCCCTGTATGATGGAGTGAGTGCCCAGATATTGCGGCAGCTCACCTATACGACGATGCGGTTCCACCTGTACCAGTTGGGAAAGCAAAGGTTCGATGATTCCAGATACTTCCAAAAGTGCATATTGGCCACATTTTCGGGAAGCATAGCCAGTTCTATAGGTATACCTATAGAGTTGGTGAATACCAGAATGCACATAGACAGGACCTTGCCAAAGGATGAGAGATGGAACTACCGCCACGCCTTTCATGGTCTTTATCGTGTGTGCAGGGACGAAGGATTCCTGGCCCTCTACAAGGGCGGCCTCTTCTCAATTATACGTTCTTCCTTGAGCACCATTGGCCAGATTGCGTCCTATGATCAGGTGAATATATGATGGCCCTGTACGGCCATGATAATAAATTCTGTATTAATATAGGCCAAGGAGTTCTACATGCGATCCTTTGATTTCAAACACGACCAAAAGTTGCTGCACGTAATCAGCTCTGTGACTGCTGCTATTATATATGGACCACTTATCCAGCCCATCGAAAACATTCGAACCCTCCAAATGACCCACCCCGGCGGAATGTCGGACTACGTCCGGCACCTACTGGACTTCGGGACGCGAGGACTTTTCCGGGGATTGGTGCCTTGTTTGCTGCGATCAGTTCCAAATACGATCATAATGTTTTTACTCTTCGAAGAGTTTCGTGTACGTTTTGGAAATAGGAAATAGATATCTAGTAAGAAAATAGGCTAGTTCACAGTGAATCGAAAAACACAGCAAGTGGCCCATATACGATGTTAGTGTAGCTAAATTTTATGACGTTCAAGGATAAAAAATAAAATATATCAAGTTTCTACAATAGTAATTAAACAGACTTTGTAAATCTGTAATTAATTAATCTAAATCTATAAAAAGCATTTAATTCCCAATTATCCAGAGTAAACTTTTGTTTAAATATTAGCTCGGGAAGCTGCCCATCATTTGAACCTGATATCCTGGTCAGTTGCCAAATAATTGTTAACTTCCCGACTCCTGACCTGGTTGGGTGGTGTGTGTTCGCAAAACACTCTCGGTTAGAGAAGGGTTAAACAAACAGGGCTTGGTGCCTTCATAAAGCATTCAATTCCACGTTGATTGGACACACACGAGGACCGCACGCAGAGCCGGTTAGGTTCGAAGCGAATGCGGGTCAACAGTGCGTATGTGTTATATTTATTAATGCAAAACGATGTGAGTGCACCACGACCACTAAAGCGGCTGCATAAATACAAACTATGCAAATGATTTTAATGACAAACAAAATGTGCTAGCAGTGCGACTAATAACCTGCCAAGCGGCACAGAAAACAAGGGTGCCCCGACCTCTGACCCGTCTTTCTCCCAAACTCATCGTCGATGCAATCGAAAGTCAGTCATAAATTTGGCTCTGAGCATTTATGCAAATCGTGGGAGCTCCCTGCAAGTGTTAGTTTGGCTTACTAACTCCACAGGACTCAAGAAACACTCTAAAGAAAATAAAAAGCTATAAAATAGATACAAAATATTCTTTAGGTTGCTTAATTAAAACTATATTTCAAAAATACTAAGCTTAGATTAGCAAAGGAATTTTTTAAATGTTTCATAGTCTTGTATTTAAAACTAAATCTGGTAACTTTTCAAGTGTAAGTTAGTTGCATTTCGGAGGACCTCTGCTATGACGAAAAGAACCTTAGAGCTCTGTCTAATTCAGTTTCATTGCGTCGCATTATTCTTATTTTTCCGCGTAATCGTCGTCCTAAAATTGCCTACTTACAAATTCAATTTCCACAATGATTGCAATCACGATTAAAGGGTAGCTAGCCGTGGGCTTTGCAGGGATAAGGGGTGTATGGGTGCTTAGTAATAGCCAGAGTGTCCTCCATATGTTACAAACACCCATTCACCCATCCACGAATCCATAACAATGCCGTCCATACGTGCAACATTTACCGTCGTTTACGTGACACGACACCCACACAAAATGGCGCTGAATGGAATGGCATGGTATGGGATATGGTATGAAATACAAGGATATGTGCGTCGCCTTTGCTGTTCCTGTCTGAGCATTGTTGCTCATACGCCTAGTTGTCAGAGGGACGCGACATCCTAACTAGAACTACACACACAGCACGTGCTGGCATTTAGCCCCCAACTTTGGTGGCCCAACTGCGTCCTCCTTGTCAAGGAGTTGGACAAATTAATGTTCATTAGTCACGTTGCAAGTTGTAATCAATTTATAATGCGACCAGTTGTGGTTGATGTTTCGTTGAGCTCCACGAACGCGGTCAACGATCCCTTCAATTATATTGTATTTCTAAATACGTGGTTTTTTTTGCCAGACACAAGAAACAAAAGTAGGCTCATAGGGATCATCAAGTCCACCATAATCTTCAAAAAAAAAAAAGGCATAACACTTTGTTAGTTTACTTTTATCCCTCCTAAGGTGCATTTTCCGAAATGAAGTCTCAACTGTTCGTACATCACAAATACCATAACTGTGGCAGGACCCTTGCGCACCATCGTGGGCAGCAAGCCCCGAAAGGGTCCTATGTATCCAAAGCGCATCATGTGCTTGGCGGCTTGCGAAAATGTTTCGAATTGTCCTGGCCTCCCGGTCATCATTAGGGTCTTCATCACGTCCAGTGGATGGGTCAGAGTGGTTGAAATTATGGAGGTCACAAAAGAACTGAAAAAGTGCAGGGGTACACTGTCATGCATAGCGAGTCGATGTTGCATTTCCGTTTTGATCTTTAAATACAAATCATAAATTAAGAGCTATTTACTATTAAAGTATTAATAAATATGTACAATCTTATAACTCACAATGTCATAGGAGGAGATTTGAGAGCATGTTCCCAAAGAAGCCTTGAGAGTTGCCACCGATCCACCTTTGTACAGTGCGAGAATCCCCTCTTCTCTGGGAATCCTTATCAGGGCGTCAAAGATGTGCTTGTAACTAAAATATTCGAGATTGCCATTAAGACTATGTACTTCGTCGAGGAGATCATTTGAAAAATACTTGCGGCGAGCATGCTCGGGATGTTTCATATCCGTTTGCATCCGAACGTTGATCAGATCAGCTGGTATTCCACAAATCGATCCACAGGCACCAGCCAGAAGGCCCAACAAAAGTTTTCCCAGGTAGGAATCATCATTGACTATATAGTTCTGCCGACCAGCCTCGTAAACCGAAAATCTAATGTTGATGGACGTCATCTGTTGGAGCACAGCCGCCGAGAAGCCATCGTAAAAGCCGATATAACCTTGAATATTGCAGTTTTTATAAGATATTTCCCTATTAAACCCTCCAAATTAAGCCCAGCAAACCTCGCCTCTTAATAATTTTCCGGGCGGTACCCAGAATGGTACGTTGCCGTTTCTGAGTCTGCATGTGGGTCTTCACAATGTCGATGGGAGCCATTACGGAGGAAACTGCCGAGCAGGAGATACCTCCGAACCACCACCGGGCTACCTTATCCCCGGGATTCTCTGCGCATTCGTCTAACGATCCTGGAATTCGAAGTCCATAGTCGTCAAACATCCCGCCATATACTTCTTCATTTAATAGTTTTTTTTGCTAAAAATGATAAAATATAATATAAGTAATATTAGAAAATTTTAGTTCTAAGCAAAGTTTGAGTTTTTGTGACTTACTTTGCACAACTAGGGAGGGATTTTGGGTTATATAATTCTTAAGAAGAATAGAAAATATATGTGTGAGAAAGAAGAAATGAAAGTATACGGCTATGTCCAGGAAAATTAATTTTCTCGTTGGGAGGCATTACTCTGCATTGTAAGAAAATTTTACAAAATGAATTTTAATTTAACGCAAAAATTTGACAACTTAAAGAAAGCATTATGAGAGATTAGTTATTGATTATAGTTATCCTAAAAATAGCTAAATATCCTTTCTTTTATATCCACCCTAGCCTTGAGTTAAAAACAAACAAACAAGTTCGATTTTGGTTGGCTATAGGATCTTGATACATCAACTCCTGTAGCAACTTTTGTCCCATTTTAGGGACAGTGGCAGCTTATAAATCTAAACAAGCTCAGTTGGCCAGTTGCATAAGTTTCCAGTTACGATTCCGGCTCGGCCAGGTGGGAGATCCCTGGCAGCCCACTGCATTCTGGTGGATCCCGAAACTATCCTACGTTCTACTTGGCGAAACTTTTCGCCCCACGCGGTTGCTCGTGCGAACATTTTTGCGCCTCTACCCCGTGGCACGTAGCAAACTTACAGAGCCCACTATCTGGCCAACCATCCATTCCCTCATTTGCCACACCCCGGCTTCCGCCTCTGACTCTGTCAGGGCCACCTGCCCAATCACCCAATCCACCCACCTATTCGCACCTCCTGCCGGTGGCTCTCGAAATGGTTTCGCCGATGACGATGACATAATAAACGAGGTTACCAGCAGCGAACTTGCTCCTCTACTTTGTCCTGCCCAAAGTTCTCACTCACTCTCAGTTTCGAGGCTATACCCTAGCAATGGGTATGAAGATGACGATATTCTGAAAGATCAAGCTTTAAAGATATTTTTGTGGAGCTTACAACACCGCCTATTTAATAAGCTGGCTTAAAAGTTTAAATATCGTTATGCAGATATTGCAGAATGGAGATATCCCTATAAATAGATAGAGTGTGTAACCTTTCGGTTTTAAACAGCAGAGCCTCTTGATGCACCTTTTTTTGTGTTGGTCCTCCAGCTAATGTCGGACATTTGTCGCTGTCCTTGCAACCCATCCTATTTTGCATACTCGACACGCTCAGTTGGACCTCGGAACAACCAAGCCCTCCTGCCCACTACCGACTGCCACTACACTGCTATCAGTTTGCATGCATTGACAAGTTTTTGTCACGTTTTCAGTGGCGTTGGAAATTTGAGTAACTTTTTCGCAACACGCACTTATCAAAAGTGGCTTCGACTTTTGTGCTAAAAGAGTAAATGAGGCGTCTTCACCAGAGGCGGGGCAATGCACCTGACCGGGCACTTTCCGGCTTTTCAAAACTTTTCTAATTAAATTTTACAAAAAATATTGTCATAGCCCCACACTCACACACACGGAAAGGGGGAGTTGTAAACGAAATAAAAAAAAGGGTTGTCAAGTTGTCACTCGCTTATCATTTCCGTTTCCGGTAAGCAGAGTTGGAAAACCGCATAAAGTCCGTTGTTCGTTGTCCGATGTCCTTTATTCACTTTCCCGACTGCAGGACAATTGTTGAGTAAATGGGCCAAAGTGGCAGGAGTTGGAGTAATTGCGGAACATTTTAATTGTCAACGCCCAGAGAGTTAAAGTGGCTTGAAAACCGATTGCAGCTGGGTAATCGTTAATTGGCATTACCAAAGTGGACAAGGAGGTGGACTGCAGCGGGGTCGGTGGAGTAAACTCTTTTCCACACACTTTCCACACCCCCTCACACACGACTTGATGAATTGTCCTTAATTGCAATTCATTTGATATTGACACTTTCGAGTGGTTTGGTCGGCTCTTGTTCAGCTTCTGCTTATGCACTGACAACAATTAAAAATAAAATAATCAAATACCATTTGTCTGGCCACTTATAAACCTAAGCTAAGGTCATATTACCATAGTCATATTATTATTTTTGTATCTCACTTTGATTTATTATTTATATTAATATATAATATTTTCCCCAGTGTCCTTGTTGGTCCTGCCTACTTAAAGACGCGCCTGGCCATGCCAAATTGTCATTGATTAATGTCAAACTCAAAGGAGCGGAGCGAGAACACACTGAAAGTTGTACTCTCGAGTGCAAAGCAATTAATTTTGCCCGTATGCACTCGAATGGAAACTGAAGAGCCCCACACACACACCCATACACACTCTCTATTAATACTCACATACAAATGAGTAATCGTGAATACATTCAGAGCGAATGGCTGCGGGTTAACTTGAGCCAAATGAGTGGCGCATGTTCATATGTAATCGTCGGTTGGCATGCCAGCTGCATATAATCCTCCGAATTATGATGCTATGGCGTGCCCGGACTGTTTGATTTGTCGGACGGAGCTTCAGGACGAGCACTACATCATGGTAATCCGTCAAAGAGGATGTTTTCTACAGGACATACTATATCGATAAATTAATCTTAAGTAAAACGTTTTCTTATGGAACAACTACATATAGCAAGGTTAAGTAATTGTTTTCTTAACAAAAGCCTTCGGAAATCGAACTATTTCCTTTTGAGACAACTTGAACTTTGGCCCATTGATGGCTGACTTGCCAAAACCACAATTATGGCTGGTTTTGAAATTTAGGTGACCCAGCCAGATCGGCTTACCTGGGTTCAAGTGTCGGCTGTTTGGGCGAGTTCATTGTCCCGACCAGGGTGCCAGCTGCCGACAACAGTTGGCTGTAATCCTTACCACTTAAGTGGGCCCCGAGGCGGCAGGACAAGAAACGCGGAGCTGCATTCCAGATGTCAGTCAACCTGCGATTGCCGGCAGCACAAAATGCAGTAGTACGAATACCAGTAGCAGTAGCAATAGCAGATTTTCAGTTTTCCTTTTACCCCTCCGATTTTTCCACAAACGATATCCCATCGCATGGCATTTTTCCTTGGCGGTGGCCGGATGATGAGTTTTTAATGCAGCTTTGTTTTCGTCCGCCTGTCGTGTTTAGGGGACGCCTGGCCTGGCACGCAGGCAACAAGGATGCAAGGAGGCCACCAGGCTACCGGCCGGGCCGGTAGCGGGCTGCAAGGATGCAAGGCTGTCATCCTGTCAGGCAATGGCGGCCCAATTTTGAAAGTTTCTTTCTTTTCCCGGTTCCCTTGATTCGACTACGCATCCGATATGCGTGCCAAACGGCTGCCAATGTTGTAGGAGGGAACGTATGTTGACGCGTTGCAATATTTCCGCTAGTTGCCAGTTACCAGTTGCCAGTTTCCGTGGCACTAACCCACTTCTACGCCCACACTATAAGGCGAAAAGGACTAAAATCAATTTCCATTCAAAGTCCTCATTCACCGAATAAAATAACCAAGCTCGAGTAAACTCTAAGAGTCCTAATTCATCTGCTTAAGTATGCAGCAAACGGCCTGAGCTGCAGGAAAACTTTTACATCCAGTTAATTTACATTGTAATTTCCCAATTGATGTCCTTAGCCGGCGAAAAAAACGACGAGACTTAAGTGGAGAGAAAGCAAGGCAAAACCAAACACAAAATGCGGGAAATCCTTTGGATTTGTCCAATACAAATACACAAAAATTGCAATTTGCATTAATTATGCAAAATTATTCAGAGTTGACCCAACTAGGCGGCTCCAACTCACTCCATTCAATATTTATAAATTTTATGCGTCGTTAAATGTTTTGGAGACCCCCACTCCCCCTCCACTTGAATCCTTGAATCCGCTTCCCCCTCCATAATAAGGACTTTGTTCCGCTCTCTTGTGACCATTCAACCGAAAATTATGCAAAACTTCAAGTCCGAAACTTTCCTCAATGGTTGTTGTTAATAAAAATGGGAGGAAAAACGTTTTTGCATTGTCCTTTGATTGGTTTTATGACTTTTCATGGCGAGCTGAATTTTAGTATTTAATTTAATTTGTTCTGGAGTTTGTAATGAATTTACAAGAGTTTAGATAACAAATTCCTTTTAAAAATAGATATTTAAATTCCTTAATACAAAATAAAATAATTAAATAATAAATATATCTCTTTTCGAGCCAATCAATGTTATTTTCGGAACCCATCGGCATTTCCTTATAACCCTAATCTCAAGTCGGCTCTTTGATTAAAATAATTTTCCGCGTGCCTCAAAACAAGTATTTGTGATTGCGTGGGATGTATGCTTGCCACATGCCACATCCAAGGGCAAGAAATAATAAAATAAATAATAAAAATAAATATATGCCACAGGAATATACATAGAATGTAGGATGGGGAGTAGGAGAAGGAGCAGCTGGTACTCCCCTTTCTTTTTACTTTTCTTTTTTTTTTGCATTCACCCGAAACAAGATGAAGTATGAAATATGATGTAAAATGATGTGATTACAGTTGAAAATGTACACAAAAAAAAATAATGAAAGGTACAGACCGGAAGAATGGTGCGAGGCAAAGGAAGTGGGTGGCAAGAAGAAGCAGCGGCAGTAGCAGCTGTATGTGTAGGTAACGAAAGAGAAAAATGGCGGGGAAATGGCCAAGGCAAGGGGTAGAATATATATACTATATGGCTGCCAGTAGCGACAAGAACAACTACAAGAACCGCTTCACATGTCAGGCTCATAAAAATGAGCACAGTTCTTTGGGAAAACAAAAACACTGCCATATATGTAGCCCCCATTGTGGGCGTGGTCATTGGAGGAGCTTGGAGGTGTTCGTGTTGCTGAGATTGACAGTTTGCGAAATGGGTTGAGTAATTCTTATGATGAATTATCAACAACTGAAGAACAGTAAGCAGATAAGCGTAATATGATAGTTGAGCTTGCTGTTGGATGTTGCTGTTGGTATGTGGACTAAGCACTGTAAGCTAAGCCTTTATAAAAGATATTAGATTGCATAATTAGGTATATTATTAAAGGTCTGAGGAAGTCTTTGCATA